GAGCCGTGAGGGGATGGAGTGTGAGGGGGACAGGGCGTCGTGAGGGGACAGTCACTGAGGGCAGCCGTGAGGGGGACAGGGCATCATGAGGGGACAGGCTGTGAGGGAGGAATGAGGGCACAAGGCTGGGGGGAGCCGTGAGGGGGACAGGGCGTCACGGAGGGACAGGCTGTGAGGGCAGCCGTGAAGAGAGGGGGGCGTGAGGGCATCTGGGAGGTGATGGCGTGTCGTGAAGGGGGGGAAGCAAAGATTGGGGTGCGAGGGAGCACCGTGAAGTGCCCGAGTCAGCTTATCTGGGAGAAAGCCGGTGCCAGGGAATGTCATCCCACTTGTCCGGGGGAGGCGATACCAGGTGATCCTCCCCAGCCCAGGCTGGGAGGGTCGGTCCGGAACTGTTGGAGCCGGTGTAAAAGACATGGGCAGAAAGTGATCCTAAACAGCACGAGGAGGGGGGGACAGCCATGGAATGTAGCTCGCCCAGCTCCCCAGTTGATAAATGTTCCCTGGCTCCTCCTTAAAATGCCCTTTCTGAGCTCCTGGTCTTGGGGCACCCGCAGTGTGGGAGCCTGAGGTGCAGGAGGATCCAGCTGTGGATTCATTGCCAGGGGCTGTGCAGGCTCACAGCTGGAATCGAGGGCAGAGCCGGCACCTGTGCGCCACGGCAGCACCTGGTCTTTGCTGATCCTGTCCTGACCTCTCTGTGAGAGCTCAACCTCACACAGAAATGGGTCACTCCTTCACCCTCTGTCTGTGTGTTTTCCTGGTGAAAATAAAAGCACGGGAACATCTACAGTGGGTCACACCCCAGGCCTGTCAAGCATGCAGAAATGAGGAGAGACCCAGGAGGAAGAGGGAGAGGATGGGGCAAGGTTTCCTTTCACACTCCCAGCTTCTGGGCAAGGATTCTGGAGCATTGTTCCCATTGCTTCTTGCTTAGAGAGCTGGGAGCCTGTCCCACCTCTTTTTTTTGAACTGCTGTGTTCATTTGGTCTCCATAGTTTCCTGAGGTTTTAGGAATGTGTTGTGTGAAAAAAAATATTCCCTTTTATTTGTTACCAACTGGCTGCCAGGTGATGGCACACAGCACCCTCAGCTGTGTGTTCTGAGAAGTGGGCAGAGTTTTTCCCTTTCTCCAGGGTGCTGGTGATTTGTCCACCTGCCATCCTGGGAAAGCCCATCATGCCAGAAAAACAGGATATTTATTTTTCAGTTAGATCTTGGGGAGAAGCAGCCTTTTTCTCCTATCCTAAACAAACACAGGGCACATGCTGTTTCATATCAGTAAACAATGCTGGAGATGCATTGACATTTAAATTGTATTAAAGATCTGAAAATGATCATTGCTGAATACCCTTGTAATACAGCTGGGAACTGGATCATCCTTTGGGATCCAAAGCTGCAGCCAGGCATGGCGGGATCTGTGTTGGGGCACTGTTGATTTTAACAAGTGCAGACATGCTTGGCTGTCTTTTCAGCTTTTTCTCTGTCAATAGTAACAGTTTGTTTGGTTTTGGAGGTATTTACT